GCAATGACCCAACAAGCTACACTGCCTAGAACTATTGTTCCTGCAGGTCCTATCATGCCAGGAAGGTTGTTAGGATAGCGATTAGGCTGAAGGCAGTTACCGGCTTGGTGTAAAAAATTTTTTATACTATGGGGGTCTGTGGACGAAGTCGTACTGCTGGGGTACAGGTCTGTCTGTTTTCGACATAGAACTTTGCACCGATGTGCGGTAGTTCAAGGGGTGTAACAGCAGTGAGGTGTTTCTCTCAGATGACCAGCACGCCAGCCAGCTGTGCTGTCTCTCAACTGTGGAGGGAGGGGGTAAGAAAAAGTCGACCTCAAAAATTGTACATACCTGCTAACCTTACAATGGTCCGTAACCAGCGGTAAGTTTACTAATACGAAACCAATCCCAGAAACCAGTTCATACAGGCCATGTGTGACCGGCCTCATGCAGTTGTCCCCTGGGATCTGCGGTCACGCAACAGTAACCCTTCTTCTGTTTCAAGTACCCGAAGAATCAAAGAACTTCCACGATGTGGGCAGCCGGGAAGTAACAACCGCCCACACACTTCCAAAAGCACACAAAGCCTTCCTGAGCATCATTCTCCTTTAGCCACATCACCTTTATCATCTTACTCCCCTACTACAGTTAGTACCATTCTTCAGGCTTGTGAGTCATCTTCTCTTCACTCTGTGACCACAAACAATGATGAGAGCCATAGAAACACCCGCGACAGCCTCTTGAAGACACGTTGCCAACTTCATTTAGGAGAATTTAACGTCAGCACCCTCTGCCAAATCGGACAACAGGCATCACTGGCAAGAACTCTGGCATCTTGAGCCATGGATGTATGTTGTGCTTCGGAGACACGCATACAAGACCCGAGTGTGGTCATTCACTTAACCTCACCCGGCCAACAAGGTGAATCTGCGAAATCCACTTTAAGGGTGTCAGGAGACCCCTCAGCTAGTTCGCGAGGACTTGCAGGTGTAGGGACAGCATTGAGTGTTAGGGCAGAAAAATCACTTCTTCACTTGATCCCATTAGATAGTCATATGTGTGCCATCCGTCTGAATGGGTCTGTTAGAAGAAGGAAGGAGGGCGTTACCCGTCGTTGTCTTTTCCTAGTCTCCGCTTACGCCCCAACAGACTGCAGTTCCGATGAACTAAAGGATGATTTCTACCTGAAACTGTCTGATTTGCTGCAAAAAGCAAAACGTCCAGATATGGTTGTTTTAGCAGGCGACTTCAATACCCAAAGTAGGGAAGTTGTGCCAGACTGAGAAGTATGTAGGTGGTACGTATGGAGTTCCCTGCTGACGAACCGACAACAGTGATCGTCTTCTACAGTTCTGTTCAGATAATCATCTGTTCCTAGCCAGCACTAACTTTAGGCACAAAGAGACATTGCTCAACCTGGCGATCTCCATCACCAAATAAACGTTGGACTCTCAGACAGACCACACAGCTATGGGATATCGTTGGCTAAGGTCAGTAGAAGTCCGCTGCTCGTTCTGGAATACGTCCGTAGACTCTGATCACGCCCTGGTACGTGCACTTTTATGCTTACGATTAAACGGACATAAAAAATTGCTGGCAGCGAAACAGCTGTGTCGAGACACTGAATCCCTATTTAAGGAGGAAATAGCGAAACGTGTATCTGAGGTCGACAGCAGGACTTCCCCTGAGGTGGCCTGGCACAACATACAGTTAGCTGTAAAAGCTGTTAACAACCTAAGACCAAAAGTTAGTAAGAGCATTTGGATTTCTACCACCTCATCCGAACCGATTGACACAAGAAGACTAATTCCGGCGAGCTCCGATTATGATGAGGAGCGAAAGCTACTCAAACGCAAACTAACAAGAAGTCTTTGTAACGACCGTGAACAGTGATGGGAGACAGAAGCGAAAGAGATAGAAAAAGTATCAGTGATTGGTAACACCAGACAACTATTTAGATTTAGCAGGAAAACAGGTGGCAAAAGGCAAACGATAAGTGAAACAATCTCTGAGAAAAATATCACCATAATTAGTTCCCAGGATAGACCACTAGAACGTTGGAAAGAACACTTTGAGGAGCAATTCAATTCGCCTACGCCCAACTTATCGAACATTCAACACCTCACTGAATGGGATATAAACACATGTCTACCGTCCCTAACTGAGGTTACTAAGGCTGTCACTAGTCTGAAACGGGGTAAAGCAGCGGGACCCAATGGAATGACTCCAGAGGTGTTTAAGGATGGCGGAGACAGTTTACTATCTGTTTTAACTAGGGTGCTAGGCATCATCTGGGAATCAGGAGAAATCCCGTCAGGTTGGTATAAGTCACTGATTATCTCCATATGCAAGAAGGGAGATGTGTTCTTGTGATAATCACAGGGGGATTAGCTTGACTAATATGGTATCTAAAGTTTTATGTTCAATAATAATGCGTAGATTAAGCGGCGCTCGGGAAGTACAAACACGAGAGAACCAGGCAGGCTTTAGACCAGGAAGAGGGTGCATTGATCATATCTTCACCCTTCGACAGATTCTGGAGCATACTTACCGGCATCCAAAAATCATCATATTTCTTGACCTAAAGGCGGCATTCGATTCCGTCGACCGAGAGGTACTCTGGCGATATTTGGCTGCAAAGGGAATGCTGAGGAAACACATTACACTGATCAAGGCACTCTACTCGAACTCATGCAGCCAGGTGAGAGCTTACGGCGAGTTGTCATCTGAAGTGGTAACAACTAGTGGTGTCCGACGGGGATGCCCACTATCTCCATTTCTATTCAATTTCATCATGGATGTACTAATAGACTTAACCCTAAATCACTTCAACGACTCAGGGATTGACTTGCTACCAGGGAATAATCTCGTTGAGTCAAAAATATGCAGGTGATATAGTCCTTCTAGGCGAGGACGCTGACAAAATGTGGAGTCTTCTGAATGCCTTCAGTTATAATCTGTGAATGTTTGGCATGCAATTCGCTCCCGCCAAATGTAAGATGATGCTACAGGACTGGACTAGATTGACTCCTTGCTTGGAGATGGGGAGTGGATTGGTAGAGCATGTTGACTACTTCACTTATTTGGGAGATTGCATCAGCCCCAACGGGTTGATCGCTGACGAAATCTCAGCACGGATACAGAAGGCTAATTTCGCATATTCTAGTTTATGCCATCTCTAGTGTAGACGTGATATCCGGCTATCGACCAGAGGGCGTGTGTACTGCTCAGCAGTTCACTCCGTTCTTCTTTATGACTGTGAGACCTGGCCATCGAAAGTGGTAGATATGAAAAGGTCAGATGGCTGTCTTTGATCATAGGTGCCGTGTGAAGAGGTATAATAATGTGAGGCATCGGTCCAGCGCTAGGTAAGGAGGGGAAATCAATCGACGAGGCTGTAAAGCTGCATCGACTGAGATGGTTAGGACACGTGTTACGCATGCCTAGCCATCGCCTTCCTCGACGGACAATATTAGCTGACATAGTCAGGTTGGAAAAGAGTTGGACAGTGGTGGTCAAACCAAAACATGGCATCAGTCAATGAAATCCACAACAATTAGTTTAAGCCACGTAGGTAGGTGTAGACTTCCTCACTAGGGTCGTCGGGACGGTCAACACCAATGGCTGGAGACAACCGGTGCTATGGCTCAAAATCGTTCTCAATGGCGCAGATGCATCCACTCCTTGCGACTTATAATACCCAGTATTACTTTTTGCCTTATATCTCGGTTTTCTGTCTCTATTTTGCACTTTTTTTTTACTTTCTCTTGCTTTGTGTGCTACATGGATTGTGGCGATTCGAACTGCTGCACATCGGTGCAAAGTTCTACGTTGAAATCATCCAGTCACACCCCGCAAACTTGTCATAAAGCGCAGTCCCTTTGACACTCCTTGTCCACATTTAAGTCCCTATGGCTATTTTCGCTTTGTTTCGTAGTAGTTTGCAGGTGAGCCTATTCCCCACTCAGTAATTCGGCAGACAGCAGGGTTCTACAGATACGTGCACCAGGATCACGGGAGTGACGTTGATCAATCAATTACAATACTAAGTTGGCAAACTTCTGTGACGAGTGTAATTACTATAGAGTTAAATACACAGGCCAAACCAGTAGACAGAGGTTATTTGAATTGTAAGGATATACGGACTTGTGTTTAGTATAGTACGTTCAGTGAAGATACGCAAGCACAAAAAACCCTGCCGTCGCCATCCAAGCAATCACCCAGAAGGGTGAAAATTTCAGGAATTAATACATGTATACAGACATTAATCACCAAAGTTCTAGCTGTTGAATCAACGTCCTACATACATTCGCAGCGACGCAACAGCGATTTAAGAAACTTGGGATACTATACTACAAAAAAAAACATGAAGTAGAACTACGTTTATAAAGTCGTGTGTGCGACGAAGGCACTGGAAACACCATCCAGCTAATAATACAGCATCATAGCATTTTCTAACGAACCAAATCCTACTCTCACACAAATATCGAACTCACCTTTAGCATTCTAACTTATTTCAATCTCCAGGTGCTTTCCCTTTGATATTGCCTTTCCAGAAAACTTGTCTCACTAAGACTATAAGAAATAAACTAACAAATCCTTTTAAGTAAGAAACGTAAGTTTATTGAGTGCTATACACTCGCCCGTATTTATATGAAAACTTAAAGTTGGTAGTGTCTTATAACATCATTCCAATTCCAAGTACTTGCAACCACTCAGTGATACTAAGAATTCTTTAATTTGCAAATACTCAAGTAACAGATAGGTTGATGAAAATTATGAGGTTTGCTTCCCACTGATAAAGGATCACAAAACACAAGTTGCTACAGAATGGCGATTGTGATTGAGGTCTGTATCATTTCAACAAAGTACTTTTACCACCTTACTTCACACTCTAATATGGCAAGTTTTTGAAAAATAGTGTACCATAACAACTCTATTGGATGTCACCGAAGTCATGAGCATGGGTATACTGACCAAAGCTCGCACAATCTTTCGGCAACCCTGGAAAAGTTAAAAATAGACCGATTCAAACAGGTTCGCAGAAATTACCGATTGAATACCTTGTGATGAGAGAATTTAGCTATTTTGTGAAAAAATTCGAGAAATTGACCGGGGTGCCAGAAACACAAACTGAATCTGAGTGACATGTCTTAGGTCAGAAAGGTTATTTTTCATAAAACCTTTACCAATCAGACAGGTGGCAACTAGCTTTCACAGCCAGCAGAACTCACAAGAGAACTTAGACGCAGTAGCTAGCCGTGCTGAATTTGGTACACTACTTAAGTCAGTGAAAACGAAGTAGGCTTCATATTTTACAATTGTTATAAGCTATAATGATTAAAAATACAAAGAAATATCAAGAGAAATCTACACAAAATTCAAAAGAAGTAATTTACATTCGATAACGAATTGACACTTGAGGGAACTGCCGAGGTATTTGGTAAAATCAAAATTTACCTTTTACGTATCAATCCTCATATAATTATAAAAAATGAACAAGAACAAGACTGATTGTCTTGAAAAAGTAGTATGTAAGCAGATGAGCCGTCAGCATACATGCAAGTCTGACAAGTATAACCTTACAGAATAATCAATTGTTCGTCATTACATATCCGCGTGACCGTTAGCAGGCATTGAAACACACCCCATTTATGTACATTGCAAAAATAATACCTAGTTTTCGGAGCAATAACTACATTGCGATTTCACGTAATGAATGATATGGAAGTAAAACATTACTTTATAACAGTGTGAAGTGCGAGTTTACATTACAATACTTCCAAAGTTACGTAAATCGAAAGACATGAATTATCAAATGAATAAATTTGCAAATACCCTATTATGTTGGGTTTTAGTCAGAGGAATATGAATTTTTGAACTCATAACTTTAGAGTCTGATATATCCAAGAGGTAACTTATGTAACTCAACAAAATTATTTTAATCCACCCATTTTATCTCCGTCGAGCTCCTCCTGCAGTAGCATTGACAGAAGCGTCTGCATTGGCGTCACCTTCATTTGCAGCACCAGCAGCGGCAGGATCAGGAAGAGCCTGCACACGGCCTGATGTGTTACCTGGATCACCATTTAATGAACCCCCGCGAGAGGATGGGCCGACGGGGCCTCTTTGTTTAAGAATCGTCCAATCGAAAACGTAATCGAACTGATGGCTCATCGTTCGAAATAGAATACGAAATAGCTGACGCAGATACATGTAATCCGGAGCCTCATCAAATCGCAGTCCTCTGCAGTAATTTAGGTACATCTGAAATTCGGAAGGATACCCTTTGCATAATACTTCAACTGGCGTCGACATTTTTTTCTCGCTTATTCTTTCATACTTTTGACGTTTCGTCGTCGCCTACACAGAAACAGGTAGTGAAAGAGCAAAAGAAATACTTGAAACAAATTAAAACTACAACTACACAGTCACAGCATTACGTTGAACTTAAATACGTAAACCTACGGAAAATGCAGCTTTTTTACAGACTAACTGTTGAAAATAAAAGTATCAACTTAAAGGAGTCCATTAGACAAACGCATTTTAACAAGTCAAAATAAGTCCTAATAAATCCACTACGTGGTCATGTTTTGGGAGCACCTGAAGGTAATAGAATAATAAACATATGGTGTTTTGTACTAGGTTGAATAATAATGTGTAGACCAGTGACATTCTAGTTTAATTATTAGTTAGGCTAGAACACGTTATAGGTAATACAAAATTACTAATGAATTGTGCGGTGAAATGCCGATGTAACTTTTACCAAAGCAAACCAACATTGTCTGTTAGATTAATCACTTTCAACAATATTAGTTATAAAGTGGACCTTAATTACCTCACTTTTATCCCACACATTCTTAAGGCATTCATGGGCAGGGACCTGATTAAATTCTATTTAATGATATCAGTATAACCACAATCAATTAAAAGTTCAAGTGACATTATACGATATACCTGTGTATTTTGCATTACACCTACTTTGAATAAAGATATACAATCAATGAAAGGCTAATGAACACTGAACCAACGTCGACATCGGCAACCAGTAATCAAACTAAATCACAACAGGACCTCACACAAATCTGAAAGTTTCACTCTTGAGAAAAGACGGAACCATAAGGTGCGCTAGAATTAGTTATTAGAAATCGTAGCACTGTGTGTAGTTGACTCCATGTTTTGACTCTCCTAGTTTATTTCCATGTCATTATTTTTTTCCATCTACTTAAAAATATCTGATTACAGATATTCCAGATAAGTGAAATAAGGCTATTCAGTTTAGCTAACATTCCACCCGCGAACTAAATTAATGTGATCGGTTTAAAGCACAAAGAACTTACGCGTAAACCCTGCCAAGGTAGACAGCCACGATTGAAATACATCAACACGTAACCCAGAGACTCCAGATCGTCTCTACGAGATTGCTCTATACCCAGATGTGCATTAATACTAGCATATCTGGCTGTTCCTGTGAGATTTTTATCTTCTCTGTGGAAAATTATTAAATTTACAAAAGTTACCGATAGATAATATGACGCCCCGTGCGCACATCTCTGTAACGTTTGGCCAATCCAAAATCAATCATGTATACTTTGTTACAATGACGCCCGATACCCATGAGGAAATTATCAGGTTTGATATCACGATGAATCAGATTCTTGTTATGAACATGTTCGATTCGAGCTAGCATTTGATCAGCAAGCATCAGCACAGTTTTCAGAGTAAACCGCCGACAACAAAAGGTGAATAAATCCTCCAAACTGGGACCTAGAAGGTCCATTACTAATACCCAATAGGTTCGGCACGTCCCGTACCATCTGACTAGTTGTATTTACTGAAAAACTAGCTTACCTTGCTTGAGGTATACCAACTGCACCTGCGAGAAGTCTATATACTTTGTGTTCAAACTGAAGCTGTGGATGTTTAGCATATATATTCTCCACTTTTATAGCAACCTCCTAAAACAAGAACTATATAAACACCAACTACGAACAATACTAAGATAAATACGTAAACAACAATACACTATTAATTACTATCTCATTTGGAAGCATTACCACATTTCTCAAGCACGTGTCGAGAAGATAAAAAGATACTCTACATGCTTAACTAGAGAAATTATGCAGTGAGTTTATGACCATTGTGTAGCTCTGGTACCGATGTCTAACTTGCTGCTAAAACCAGTTTTACAGTAGACAGCGGCGTCGAAATTCTAGACACCGATAGTGGTTTGGATGTGCAGATACTTACAGATTCTTAAAAGTTGTTTAACATGTTACAACTTTTAACAGGAAGCAATTACTGTGACATATACACGGAGTAGAATCCTTTGGACAATCACGGTAACCGGCAGTGTTATGATGACCGAGAATTTAGGACTCCACAACCACCAACTTAGTATTTACGACCGATAGTAAACTGAAATGATGTGACTGAAAGCTTATGAGAAAGGAATCAACGAGTTTGACAGCAATACTTACTTACTTTACTTCGGCTATCTCCTACGGGAGGATGAGCCGGCTTCATGAACAACTCGAATTATCGCTGCCCAGGCGCGGCGATCTGATGAAGAGTTCATGAAGTTTCATGGGAATTTGGTACGAGTGATGTCCCCAGAATCGCTCGGCCTTTTGTTTGAGAGTGCAGCTCTAGCCTTTACACAACCAAGTGTGACCTACAAGGCAGTAGGAGCAACTAGGCAACAACAATCATACTGTCTTCGTTGACCTCAGCGGTCGATTCTCCATAAGTTTTATATTATCAAGTCATCTCAAAACTCACTACTTTTGTAACCATTTCTGTAAACAATTTACAAGTCTTTTCTACGTACGCATAATTATCTGACCCAGATCAAAACCAAGGAATATTTTTATATGGACACAACTACGAGACCAAATGTTGTGAAGTGAGAAACCACTACTCAGTGTTAGAAATTGGGTCGTTATTCGAGCGCACAACTAATGATTTAAGGCCGGAGTTAGTATGTCAGCAAAACGCTGATGGATGCAATAAAATAACTTGCCACGCGTAACGTAATTCAACTGATATCTTACAAAATTGTTTTCGGGGACGGGACAATAAAATCAAAATCAGAACTACACCGCCTTCCATGTTTGCTTAGAAGTGTTTATATTCTTGGGATACAACCGCTATAATCGAGCAACGATGAACTGCCGTAAAACACTAGTTTTGACCTAACACAATTTAAAATCTAACAGAAAAAGGCCAAGAGCACTACAGTGGAAATTACTTTTTTTGTAAGTGAAGTTTAACGAATAATAATGAGGACAGTTAGAACTTCGATAACAGTGAATACATCCGGATGTCTGGAGTCCTCTAGACTGGATGCTTTAATTGTACCATCAAAAGTGAGCTAAGAAAACTTATAGATGAATATATTTGCGCAATGTTGACTATTTAGTTTTAGGCCTGAACAGCAGTCAGTCTACTCCAGCTCCCGAGGTATATCCACCCGCAACCCCACGGAAAACTTGGTTCCGAATGGTATGAGGGAAGCCTAGGCCAACTGACCAAGTATTAGTTACCAGTCCATCGAATCTGGGTCATATATTGAAGAAAACTCATAATGTCAACGAACTGCTCTGATAGCATGTCGACCACTTAGGTATTCAAATCAATCAGTATCACGTGCACTAGTAAGTCAGGTGCAAAAAGCGTGCTCCAGTCTATCGTAAGTGCTGTTTTTGACGGAATTGACCAGTCACTATGCATAACTTCATTTTGATGTGTGATACCTGTTATCTGCTAGTAGTCCAGCCTGTTCAATTACGATTTTCTCTTTTCCTAATAACTTCTCAATGCCTAAGTCTTTAAACTGATGGACTTACAGAAACTCGCTAGAGGTTACCATTAATACATAAAATACGACAAAAATTTGAACATATAATTGCAGAGATATCTGCTATGTAGCCCACACCCGACTCACCTCGCCCGTAAGTTGGTTAAGACCTAAGTAAATATCTCCAAAAGACCCCGAACCTATTTTTCGCATCAATCTATACTTATCATTGATGAGAACATCTGATTTCATCCTGTTGATGTCCGCCATCTTGGTAATTTTGTTTCCCGGGCTTTGAAGCGCAACCCAGTCAAAGTACTACGTAGCAGTACTAGAGATAATAAAATGATTTGAAAGAAGTTAAATTCCTTAGGAAGTATTTTTTAAGACACCGTCATACTAAGAAGACAAATGTTCTGCCTCATCCACCTCGCGCGAACTTTGAAAAGTAGGTGAATTTAAGCCTTTCTTGTTTAATTTCGAATGGCTTTATTGCATATCTCCGCTAATTGTAGCGTTGTATTCCATTGCCATGGTGATTCATAGACAATTTATGTTCTTTACATGCTTTTTTGCTTTAAATAACGTTTCTAACGTATATAATACCTGCGTCATAATGTAATTCAACTGCGTTACATTAGCTGCAACTGTATCAGGAAATAGTGCTTGATAATGATATTTGCCAATGTGACGGATTGAATGAGGTAGGGAGTTCAAAATTCAGACGTATATTTTTGTATTTCCGTGAAACCATGCTAGTATTTGCGGCCTGTATAATGAAATCTTACTGTCCTAATTCATTTGGTAGTTGTTAGCATTCATAGGAAAATTTAAACGTTAATTTCAGTTCTCATTTAGCCACCCTAGCCTGATTCTTATTTGAGGATACAAGTTACTAGCACTATGAGCACTGTGTAGAATGGCTGTGAACGTGTTTTTCAAGTGGCCTCTATTTTGGGGAAAGACTAGGTTGATTTCAGATTCTGGTTTTACAAACATAACTTAGGTTCATGTGCGAAAGAATGTTATTATCTAAGTTGGGATAAAGATAAATTGTTCATAAAATAAGTAAGACTTTATTTCTCATCTTACTCGCATAAATACTATTGTTGTGTTGCTCTATTTTGACCAAACTAACGTACACGTATATCCTAGTATTTCTTCGTGTTTATAATTGTGTCCTAATGTTGTGATTACTCGACATCCACAACGTAATTCAAAGGGCACTTGCGAAGGAATACGATAGTGTATTATCGCAGAAATCAAAATTCAAAAATTGAGCGAGTACAAAAGTATCAATTGTCAACACGCAATCTTTAGAGTGATAAACAAATCAAAGTCCTTTTACATAGTGAAAGTATACTACGGTGATGAGTAATAAAATGGGTCACTACGCTTTTGCACATAGAGTTGCACTGTAATCCCAGATGAAGCAAAAGACCATGAATGCCTTGTTCCTTTCTTAAGCATAAGATAGTTAATTACACAGGAATCACTTAACAAGACTCTCTATATTAGGCTTCCTAGGTACGAATAGAACTTTCCCCACTTCAGGGTTATGAGTTAATTTGTGGACTCTGTAGGCCCTTACACTTGGCATGGAAAATTCTTGTTGAAATATTACTGCAACACTGTGTAATTTATCAAAATAACATCTTATCTATGATGGAGTCATACTCCACGACAGTGCCCATGTTTTAAATTTATATCAATAAAATAAAAGGTGCATATGTTTTGCTAAATTTTACGCACTTTCTATATGTATTTGACGTTTGTTGAGTGCTCATATGACGACTGCTGAATGCTGCAATCAAGCTTAAATTATAACTCGCATTTCCAAGAAGTGTTGTCATTTGTATTGGCAGCAGTTCACAATTTATTGAGTTATCGCAACCATGATATCTATTCCTCACATTATTGAGCGATTATTAACTAGGACTTTTTCCAATACGGTCAGTCATTTTGTGAATTTTATGAATTCTATAGTTTGCTTTCCATTCACTTAATACTGAAATTTAACTATGAGGGAACTCATATTTCCAGGGAGAATGCAATACTAAGCTCATTACGAAAATTGTCATCCTTATTTTGGTTCAATTTCATCATACGTGTATTAGTAGAATTGTATGTCATTGACCAGGGAACAGTCTCGTCAACCTAGAGTATGCTGATGATATTGTCCACCCAGGTTGTGAGGAGTGACCATTGAATCTGGGAGACATCAAAATACCACTGATGTTTGATCGTAGGTGCCTGTTCTCTATCTCCTTTGTAAGTAGTATAATATGGTGAGTAATATTGGAGTTAAGCGTTGGTGTCAGGTAGGGATGTGACTCCAAGTCATTGTTAATGACAGATGCATTCACTTTGTGTAATCTCACGTATCTAGTCAACCCTTACATTTCATTCTTATCACTATCCGTTCTCCCTAACATTTATACTCATTAGAGTTCCATTTAATTTCTTTGTTGTCTACCCTTGTGTGTTACACTGAATGTGGTAACTTTAATAGGTGCACAGGTGAACAGGTGTGCAAGCTTCTACGTTTAAAGTCAGTCAGTCAGAATGACATATAGTCTAGGTATAATGAAATATTAAAAAGTGGATAATAATCACTCAAATTTGTATAAAGCAAGAACAACACTTTTTGCAGAATAAAATGGTAACATAATTTATTTCGTTGGCTTGTCATGAGCTGCTTACAGGCTTAAGTCATTACTAAATATGCCTATAGAAACAATTTTAACATACTTTCACAGTGTTCATTTTTAAACAAGAATCAACCAATCAATAAATGCGTATAGTAATAATGTATATAAACATAATATTAAACACTTCCGAACAATAATAATCATACACAATGGAAACTCTCGGCATAACGTAATCAGATGAAAGAGATGTGAAAATGTCCAGTTACCAGAGCAAAGAAAGACTGATTTTAATGTCATAAAACAGTGTTCCATTTCAAATTGCGCTTGTCAGATATGATCATGCCTGTACAAACGGCATGTCAATCATGCAAATGTTCATTTTATGTGAAATAATATATTATATATGTTTCTTTCTGAATGCATAAATCAGGTTTCAGGCGCTTGAGAGAGAACTGAACCCTTTTGTCTATTGATAATTTTGAACGGTCTTGCGACGTCTACCTTATGACCCGTGTCAAGGAGATGCCTGGCGACGGCACTGTTTAAAGCATTCGTTCCCTTTAGACATGTGATTTTTGGTACATGTTCAGAAAATTGTAGATATGCCCTTCTTTCTGTTCTTCCAATGTAAATGCTGCCGCGAATACATGTAAATTTGCATATACAGTTAGAGTTAATGTGAGTCGAACTGCTGTACTTCTGTGCCGAGTTTTATGTTAAAACTCAGTCAATTAGCTTTTGTCGCTGCAGCTACTTGTTGTCACAACTCACTACATTGTTAATTACTTAATTATTAATACCGTTTCCTAAATACTCTATGCGTTTTCCCAATTCCTTAAATTGTCCGGATAAAGTGCACCGAAGAAGAAACCATCAATCAGAGGTCGGTAACATTCCACTGACTTTTAGCAATCAAAACACCACACAAAAATGTAAAAGTACCAACTCGATATCTGCCATATTTTTATTTTCCTGCAACAGAAAGAGGTACTGCGCAACTCCTGACCGGGGAATTTACAACCAAGTACAGGTTACCAGCAAGTTGCGAAGAAATTTTCCAAAAGCCAGTCGTCGAAATGTAAGCGAAGTGTACTCGGTATACCAAATAATCATAGCATGAACCATATATTTAAGCGTCCTGCTGCACAAATAATGCGCCGCTGATTAAGATCAACACCAAACAACAATTTTCAGATAAACTCACTCAAAACGAAATCACGTCAACTGCATTTGTCTGGACAGCCGGCCCCGATTCGAATCAACTAAACCTCGCAAATGCCATCAAGGCGAGGCAAGTGGCGCCAGTTCATATAGGGAATATGTCATATAATGCCCTTTAATTTCGGCTGATGTTGTGTTACACGCTCCAAAAGTCCGAAGAATAATTTTTGTTGAAGTTAGTTTTCTGCATAGTTTTGAGTTGATCTCCTCGTAGGAAGTGTGATTTTATAACATTTTAGTTATTATATGTCTTACTCAACTTACGTGTACAGTCTGTCGTGCAGACACAAATGGCACCAATAGAGAGTTCTGGAATCGACCTCAGCCCCATTTCATGCAGTAAAACATTCCGACATGACCTTATCCAGTTTCCGTATCCACGATCAAATTTCTTTCCTGTTATAAAACTGCGATAGGACTGCTGAAAAAATTGAATAAATATATCACTGATCTCAACATAATACATCAATAAACTTTAAGTCAAGGATGCTGTTCACAACAAAGTTATATAGGAGAATTGACTTCAAGCTTTATTTTTCCCAGATATTTGTATTACATCCATCTGATGTCTGGGTTTTTGTTAATGCGAAGACAATATTTCTATACCTCTTTATGTGTTACACAAACAGATTGTTTAGCAGACTGTTCCGACTGACTCTAATGTCAGAAAGAACAACCAAACTGTAAATTCACCATACATAGAAATATGTGTAATTTATATAATAACTTATCCATGCCTGTACAATTGGTATGTTCCTGCATAGACAGGAAATAAATATTATTATATCAATTTTTGTCAACGCATTGGTTTCTTATCTCTTATTTGTATAAAACTTGTTCCTAACGGTCATATTTGAATCAAATAGTCCCGGTTCACTTTGAAAATTCTCCCTGACAAAAGAAAATGCTGTGGAAGACTTACGCACCAGTTCTAAGTAAGAGTTATGCAGTGGTATAGCTGCAAAAGATGGTTTCATAGCATGTGCACAAACCTAACTCCTGCAGCATACAAGCGTCACTGCGAACCTCCGGCGAATCGGCTATGCAGTGATTGCTGCAGTACGACTGGGTTCAGTACTGAAGAAGCAATTGCCACGATCACTGGGACACTAAAACTCCTGGGCTGCAAAGGTCCTCAACCTCAGGAGGAGAGCAACTATCGCTCAGTCACCAGTGACGTGGCTAGCGTCACTGACGAGACAAGACACCTTCTCGACGCGTCTCTGTCAGAGAGTGAGTGCTTTTTGGCACACAAGAGAACCACCATAGCCCAAAAATCCACACTGCCCCGACGATGCCTGGTAGGCCCTTCACTGCCAGAAGTAAGAGGGCGACAGAAAACTCCGACACCAAGTTGCTCATTGCTTGCACCAGAAAGAGGCGCAGCAGGTTCCAAAAACCCGTAACTAATGTCACCAACGAACTTTCAGATGAAGCCTAATCCACACAGGTGCATATTAGGGAAATACAACCACGACAGAGAGCGATGAGGGCGCCAACGAATGGCGTGATATAGTCTCCTACAGAAAGCGAAATAAAGACACCGTATAGGCCACACTGTCCACGAA